TTTTTCGAGCATTTCGGCCGGAATAGCCCGAATTTCTTCGGAAATGTTGTCTTCCAAAGCTGGAATAGTTGCTGGCTTATTTCTGTAGACTTTAGACTTGACGTAGCCCCACAAAAAATAGTCTAAAGGCGTCAAATCGCATGATCTTGGTGGCCAACTTACCGGTCCATTTCTTGAGATGAATTGTTCTCCGAAGTTTTCCCTCAAAATGGCCATAGAATCGCGAGCTGTGTGGCATGTAGCGCCATCTTGTTGAAACCACATGTCAACCAAGTTCAGTTCTTCCATTTTTGGCAACAAAAGTTTGTTAGCATCGAACGATAGCGATCGCCATTCACCGTAACGTTGCGTCCAACAGCATCTTTGAAAAAATACGGTCCAATGATTCCACCAGCGTACAAACCACACCAAACAGTGCATTTTTCGGGATGCATGGGCAGTTCTTGAACGGCTTCTGGTTGCTCTTCACTCCAAATGCGGCAATTTTGCTTATTTACGAAGCCATTCAACCAGAAATGAGCCTCATCGCTGAACAAAATTTGTCGATAAAAAAGCGGTACTCACATTTCGAACCGAACACTGATTTTGGTAATAAAATTCAATGATTTGCAAGCGTTGCTCGTTAGTAAGTCTATTCATGATGAAATTTCAAAGCATACTGAGCATCTTTCTCTTTGACACCATGTCTGAAATCCCACGTGATCTGTCAAATACTAATGCATGAAAATCCTAACCTCAAAAAAATCACCCGTTATAAGAGAAAAAATTTTAAAAATAAGAAAAAATTCCGCTGCCCAAGTATTCGAACCCCAGCTAGAGCACATTCAGCACACAGCTAGAGCACATAGCCAACATCTAGAGCAGAGGTGGGCAGCTTCGATAGAGAATTTTTGTAGTGTGCGTGGAATTGATGTCACTGTGTGCGTGCGAACAAGTCGTGCGGTTGAATAAAGCTTTCGCTGCCTTCTAAAGCAGAGCATGTATGTATACGCGAATATGCCCGCCGGGAAGGCGCCACCCAAGTCTGATCTAGAGCTAATTCAGCCGCCTATCCACGGAAGCGCTCCTGAACTTTCTCAGAAATCTAAGCTTAGATGAAGAGTTGTTAAGAGTAGGGTTCACAGTAGATTACTAGGTCGCGGGGCATACCTCATATTAATATCTGTCAATGCTTACTGCACTTGGGTGGTCCAAAAATAGGAAAGTCGCAATTTTTATGGTGAGAAACCATATACCGAAAAAATATACCCCAATTTTTTTTTTATCAAACAAATATTTAAAAGTCGCTCAAAGCGCTCAAAATTTTCCATGTATTTTACATGGGGGGAAAAAAAACTTTTTTCGTAGAAATGGTATAGATTTATTGAAAATTTAAATCTTTTCGATCGGAAAACTCTGGTTCTCTTCCTCTCTGGGACTTCCAATAATAATACCCTATTGTTTACTTAACCATTTTTTGATACTAAAGATTTTTTATTGGACCCCCCATTGCCT